TAGGTTCACCAAAAATGAATTCTGAGGGAGTTTAATCAAATGGTTGAAATTCTCTCTTTTCTTCTCTCCCTTACCATTTTTAATCTTTTTCTCTGGTTTTCTATTTCATTGCCGGAAACATAAAATAATGAGGTATTTTCCCCAAAATTTAAATGCCACGAAAAATAAGGGAACTAAGGGATATTACGTTTTTCTCTTCCCTCCTCCTCTTCCCAATCTTTTCTCCCATCTTTAGTTTAGGTACCAAAAATAGACAAAAATTGGGGGCCTCATTTCGGCCCCGGTCGTATGCCGCAAAAACGTTGCGGCGAAGTCAGTTCCCGCGATGCCTCTCCGCGGCAGGCCAATCCGAGTCTAGCTCTCTAAACGGCCGGGAATGACGGTCCCTAGATGCGCCGAGTGTGACCACTTATCTCGCCATCTTTGAGGGTTACTCGTAAGGCTCAGTGCGCCCAAAATCAGGGGTGCCCTGAGTTCCCCTAAGTTTTGCTGCCTGGTCAGACAAGAGTACCATCAAAACACGGACTTGTCCCTAAGCCTAAGTGCCAAAACTGCAGATCTCAGGCGGCGCACTGCTTTTGGCCGCCTGACACTAGGGCCATGGTGGAACTTTAAGGCGGATGCGCTCCCTTGTCTCTGTCCTATTCTTTGGTGTGAGTGCGGCTTTGTGGCAGTTAAGCCGGAACTGTTTTTTTCAGCTCATGACTTCTGTGTGATTGTTCTCCATGGAATTCATTTCGCTCGTTTATCTTCCGATGGGAATGAATATGCATGTTTGGGAATTGTTGCCTGATGGGCCTGTGCTTTGATTATACTCGGGATAACGGGGCAAGAGTGCAGAGCACACGGAGCACTTGATAATGTATGGCTGCCATTTTCGCACCTTCCGCGACAAGTAATTGCGAATGTTTTGTCATTGATGGATTGGTCTTTGATTCGACTAAAGAATTATGGTGAATGGGTTGCGATTCAGTTATTGGCTAGAACAATATTGTTGGGATTTTGTTCGAGAATGCAAGAGTGTTTAGATCTGATGATGTTGTGATTCCGGGCGGGTCTTCACTCCAGAATACGTTCCGCATACCTTTTGCGGCTTGCCCCCACTTCACAAAATCCGAAAGGTGATTTGCCTTCTCGAACAAGAAGAAAGGTGCCACGCACGACCTGCATGCGTGTAAGTACCGTCCCCACGATCCCTGTATGGAAAATTCTGGGCGAAACCATAGACTATTGCAAACTCTCTCTCTCTCTCTCTCTCTCTCTCTCTCTCTCTCTCTCGCCCCGAGAAACGAAGGATGTTCCCACTTTGTTTGCATGTGTCAGATAGATAAAGGCGATAATCAGAAAAGTTCGGTCGATAAACGGGGATTAACGATGAATGATTATTGATTGAGTTGCCATGTGGACTGAAGGCCCCAACCCGACTGGGCGCCGACTTCCCTTACTCCCGCCACGTCCCTTTCCGTACAACGAGAACAAGACACGTGTATGCGAGTAGGACGTACGAGAAGTCGTCGCAAAGATCGGCAACCGATATTATTTTCTTCCTGAAACTCGATGCTCAAGATTTGTCGGAGCAAGTTTTGTCATTATTGATACGCATTTTCCGCCTTACTCACTGCTATTACCGTTCAACGAGTTGATTGTCATTATGTGGACGACAGTGACGCCCCATTGGCCCAACACTGTGTAGTGACTGCTGTCGCCCCGAGCGTTACCAATCCAAGGGTTTCCACTACCGCGTACAAAATGTGGACGAACACAAAGAACGAGCTACACGATTGAGACTCTCCACGTCAGATTCTCGGTTGTGCAATGAGCGGCGTCGGGACTTGATCCGAAAACAAGACACTAGAAGTGTACCCGCCCCCTTTCAGGCTAAGCGAAGGGCAACGGCCCGCTGGGAAGTTCAACAATACTTTTTGGATTGAATTTCCCCTCGCCGAACGACCCGCGCACGCCCTTTTCTCCCTAGATATCCGCGTAGTGACAGACCCTCCCCTCTTACTAAGTCTGACCAATATGGGGGATTTTGGTTCTGTCCGTCTATGTTTCCCCTTGGCCGCGGCCGCGGCCGAAATGGGGAGGGGTTTGGGGAGAGGGGAGTGGGTTTCGAGTGGGGGTGGGGGGGCGCACGCCCTCGAAGTGGCAGAACGTAAAAAAAAACAAAAAACAGGGGGGTCCTACACATGGGTCTAGCAGGGTGGGCCGGGAAAATTCATGAGTCCACCGGGCTGTGGTTCGTTGATGCAGGTGCGTGGGGGGGAGGGTAAGCAACACAGAAAAAATAAAAATAAAAATATGTGCCCCTTGCGGGTTCGTTTTTTTGGGGGTGGGGGTATCTGGTGGGTAGGACCGTGGGGGGATGGGGGTCCGCCGGTTCCGTTGGTGGGTTTGTCGTTGGGTTGAGTGRGGGASGGGGGAGGGGGGGCGGTGGGGGCACTGTGTGGGTTTGGGTTCAAATGTTGAAGTGCAAGTACATAGTCTCCCACTACAAGCGGTGGGATACTGGGTACTGCACTTGGACATCAGGGGCGTGGGGGTTGGGTGGGGGTTGGGTAGGGGTGCAGCGCCGGGCGCCGAGCGGGCTTTGGTTGAGTGGGGGTTGGGTGGGGGCTAGGGCGTGGGGTTTGGGTGGGGCCTGGGTGGGGGTGCGTATGGCAGAGCAAAGGCAGGCATCAATTTCATTCGTGAGGCTGGTGAAATAACACATTGATTAGCATATCATCCACATTTGGCATACCAAATTTAGAACATATTCACAATGAGGGCAACCATAACATGCATGTGTGTGGCATCAGACAAAGATACAATTTGCAACATTGCGACAACAATTCCCGCTTTGTCCGGTACATTTAAGACAACAAACCACTCACCAAACAACAGCGAGTCACATGCGAAAACGAGCGTGGAAGAGGAGCACGTAGAAGAACAGGACAGTGAAAAAAAAATTGCACTCCAAATGCATATGTACGTGTCTGAAGCCAAAAACCGGACCCCGTCAACGTCTACCGAACCGTGAGATACGGTACCTCACAAAAAAACTAATGTGATCGTACCATTCGTCCCTGTGGAAACTACCCTATCAAAACAACGTCCTATACAAAACTATGATACAACCTCGAGCAACAACATCAACATGACTATGAAACTACCCTGTCAAAACGACGTCCTATAAAAAAACAAACAAAAAACCAAATACATAAAAAAGGCGCTAACGCCTCCCTCTCCTTGCGGAAGGTCCAGAACCTCTACCTCCGGAAGGACGCCCGCGGCCTCTCCCGGTGGACTGTCGACCATGAGCTCCTCCCGGACCCCCTCCACTGCCTCCAGCACTTGTGCCCTGCGCACCGCTGATGTATGCCGCCTATGCTGCCGCGGCTGCCAAGGACACGACCGCTCTGTGTCTGCCGACTGCATTGTCGATCGACTTGGACTCTGTGTCTGCGTCCTCGTCCTCGGCCCCCCCTGCAGCAATCGTCTCTCGCCGCATCCAATGCTGCCTGGCCGGCGGCGATCTCCGCTGCGAGTCGAGCCTCGACGTCCGTGAAAGCGCTCTGTCGTCTAGTCCCACGATGCATCAGCAACGCCTCCTCGCCGGATGTGTAGTGTTGACCCTACGCATGTCCGCAGCTGTCCCTGGGGCCGAAATCGGCGGCGGGATCAAAACTCTCCTCGTCGCTGATCGAGCCAAACCGAGCATGCGGCCTGCCACGTGAAGACTCGGACGTCCGGAGCCACCCTCGCTGCTGTCCGCATCCTGAAACCGTGGTGACAAACGTCCTGCGAAGGCGCCCCTCCCGGCGTCGTAATCCGCCCTCATCCGGTCCAAGACTCGGCGATGAGCTGCCCATCTGTCAGCAACACCACCTGCGACAAGCGGCGGGGAACCGGCAACGGGCGCACAGGCCGTAGTCATGTCGGCGCCGCCCTTCGTGCTCCGTGCGGGTGGCGGAGGCATCGATCCGGCAGATCCGCCGCCGTCACTGTGGCGGCCCGACCCGCCATCAATCAGCGTGGACCCCTCTCCCTCTAATGCCGTTGAGCGACGAACCTGACCATCTAGGGCTATCCACGATTTAGGGCAGGGGCGAATACGGTCCTCCAGGGGGGCGCCTCTCGCCGCTCCTGCGGCCCGTGTGGGGGAAAGGGTCATGTGAACCGAATCGCGCCAAATCGTTGGCGTCAAAAGCAGCCTGCGCAAAGGTCTCGGGCCGTGTGAGAGGTAGCGAAGGCACTGACGGGTCCCTCACGACCAAAGCCAGCATACCCACATTGCCGTCGTCGCCACCGTCGTCACCGTCGTCGCCACCATCGTCGCCACGGTCGCCATCGTCGTCGTGGTGGCCGCCTTCGTGGTCGGACCCCTCCTCGTCATCGCCGTGGTCGGACCCCTCCTCGTCGTCGTTGCCTCCGTGGTCGGACCCCTCGTCGTCCTCGTCCTCGCCGCCATCGTCGCGGTCTGCATCTCGGTCGGGTCCACCCTCCCCCCCACCACCCACGGCGACACAATCTCCCTCAACACCCGTGGGGATACCCTGTCGGGCCTCCCCCGCATCAGCCTCCCCACCAAAACCCACGTCGCCTCCGTCACCGCCGCCACCCCCCACTGTCTTCAACTCCCTGAGTCGGCGCTGCTCCTCCATATACGCGAAACGACCCTCCCATCCCGGCAATGTCCCCAACCGCTCCTCCTCCTCTCTGTCCACCTGGGCATCCCACTCCTCCGCGCTCTCTACATGGCCCCGCACATGAGAATCGTCGATACGCACGTCCGAGAGCGAGGCAACCCCCTGTCTCGGGGCACTAAAATCCCCCAACCCCCCGCCAGAGCCGCCGCCGTAGAAGTCGTCGGTACGAAGCTCGGATGGCGAGCGGTGGCGGACATTGGCGCAGGATGGAGTCCTCTCCAACTCCGGAATGCCTGCGAGCCCGGTCCTCTCACGGTGCTCGGTCGGTGGTGTCCGCTGTCTCTCCGCTGCCGATGCCGACCTCGTCCTCGGCCTGGTAGGCTCGGGCGGTCCCGTAGTCCGATGATGAGAGGAAGAGAACCGACGATCCTGAAGGGGCATCTCCTCCTCCTCCCCCTCCCCCTCCGACTCGCTGTCGCTCCTGACCTCCCAACGTCTGCCCGTCTGCCGAAGGCCTCGGAGTGGCTCCTGCTCCTCCACGTGCTCGTCGGCACGCGGTCGTCGTCGACGACGATCACCGGCTCAGCCGGTGCCACAGGCCTGACCACCGGACAACACATCGTTAGTGATGACGGATGTGTGTGGAGCCATGCCGTCAGGTCCTCCGCCGTAAGTGAAATAGACCTGCTCCGCCGTCGCGTGGCTGCTGACGGGAGTGTCATCATCATCCGTCCATTAGTCGTCCGACGTGTCGTCATCCGCATCAGCGTCTGGAGTCTGCTCTGGCCACGGCCGTAGCTCCGTCGCCCTCTTGCCAAACACGTCCTGAAATGGGTCGGCTCTGGACGGTCGACAAGAATGGAAAGCGACGACCTGACGCTCGATGTCCTGCTCGCTGAAACTGCTAGCAGGTCGCGCTCCCCACACCTCGGGGTCCACGTCCCCCTCGTCGTCCTCCTGCCTTCCCGCTGTCTCCTCCTGACCGGTCCCCATAACCCAGGGCAACACGTAGCCACTACCTTGCTGTGCGCACGAGGCCAATTTGAGATTGGTGGCAATCTCAACCAGCTGTGCAAGCTTAGCAAAGCCAAGCTTGTGGCGCCTCACCGTGTTGATGCACTCGTGCTGCGCCCAGTTCCTCTCCGCAGGAGAGGCGGACGTCCACAAGTGCATCACACGGATGGCGATGGTGCACAACTCAGGGTGACGACGTCCGTGATCAAACCACCACTGGGCACAACGCTCAGTCTCGCGGTCCCCCCGACAGTCGTCGGCCTCAGCATCGGACAACTGCGATCTCCCCAATCTCCCCGCCGCGAGTGGAAATGCCTGATCTGGTCGCGGACTGTCCTGTACAGTCTGCCGACTGGATCGCCGCCAGTCTGTGCGACCAGAAATCTGTCGCACTCCTCGACCACACGAGCGTCGTCACTGGTTGTCTACAACGACTCATAATATCGGAGGGACCGGCGGCGAGGGTTGAGAAGGTGTGCCGCGGCATGTGCGGGCTCGAGCATGTGGAGGTTGCGGACGACAACCTCGCGCACGCACGGCTCGACCATGTCCGCCGGCACATCCACCCTCCTCATCAACTCGAGAAGATGATGACTCCACTCGTAAACGATGGACATCATTATCCCTCCTCTATCCATCCTCCTCAAGAGCTGGTGGATGGGCGACATAACGCAGATGGCACAGTCAACGCATCACCAGAACTCGCCGTCGCGGATCTGCTGCTGAACCCACTGTGCCTGGGAGACAAGCCTGTGCTCCTACGGGATGCGCGCCCACGCGTCGCTGTGCAGCATGCTCTCTAACGCGTCCCGCCGGCCTTTGAGACACGTCAGCATCAGGAAAACTGACGCAAACTGGGTCTCAAAGGGCTCAACCAGCATGACACGGGGGCTCATCCTCCTGAAAAGGGCGAACGCAGCGCCGTGCGATTTAATAAATCGCACTAACGCTCGAGCACGAATAATGGTCTCCTTGACCCACCCCACTCGCGTCCCGACGTCTGACAACATCAAGTTGCAGAGGTGGGTGGAGCAGGGAAGCCAAATGATCCTCCTGATGTCTGCGTCGAGCTCGGTGGCGAATCTACGGGCCGCCGTCGTATAGTTACTGGCAGAGTCCATGCAGAAGCCGATCACGTCCTTTGCAGGAAAGGACAAGACGATGGCCCGCCACCTGCGATACACGACATCCGCCGTGTCAGGGACTGACCCGTCACGTGCGACGGTCGCATATAACAGGGCGCCGTTGGCGCCCCCGGCCAGGAAGTTCACGAACGGCTTGCCGCTACGCGACTTCCTTCCGTCAGAGAGGATGGTGGCACCGGTGTGCTGGAAAGCGGACCGCACCTCGCTCACCATCGTCGCCACCTTCCCTCTCTGCGAAGGGATCCCAACGCCCGCTGTAACCCTGTAGGAGGGAAACAGGAAGCGAACGTTGCGAAGGACTCTCTTCGCCGCCTGACGCACCCTCTGGAACTTCGGCCCTCTGAAGGCGTTGAACGACAACCCCTTCGCGTAGATCCACTGCAGCCACGTCCACTGCAGCCACGCGTCGGTGAACTCAGCCAACTTCTCCTTCACGTACATCTCGTCGATCGTCGTTTGACGTACCCTCTTCTCCCTCGCCGTGTCCCGCATGTCAACTTCCTCCTCCCCCACCTTCCTCTTCTCCCTCCTAGCGCGCTCCAACTCAGGTCGTGATGCCCTCGCACCGCGTCCCGCCGGGCCATCCCCTCTCGACATCATCACAACCTCCTCCCCAGGTAGATAAGGCTCGCAGCCTCCAGCTGCCTCATCTCGCATCCCCCAGCTGCCTCGTCTCGCATCCCCGCCTCGCCGACCCCCCCCTCGCCCCCCTTTTGCTCATCAAGGAAGTCTTGCATCTCGTCCCTCTCTGCCTTGTCTGCCGATGGCCGCTGTCCACCCTTGGTCGATCTCGTATCCCGCATCCCTCGTCTCCCGTCCACCTCTCGACCCGCCAAGCAGTGCTGTCCACGAACCTGTACCCCGTGTTGTTCCAGATGTCCGCGAGAACTGTAATCCCCGCAACCCTGCAGTACTCGGGCTGCGTGAAATGGTGAGCGACCTTCGTCGCATTCCCCTACCACACATGGTTGCAAAAGTTGCAACGCAACTTCCGGTCCCCATGCATCTTCGACTGGTCCCCGACAAGTTGCCCCGTGGTGACGAAGTTCCAAATTGAGTTGCCCCGCCTCAACCTCGCCATCTCCCTTTCAGACTGCGGGACGAATCCCCCACCCGCAGTCCCCCACGGCGCCCGCGCACCGCCGGTCCCCTCCCCGCTGAGCTTCACAGTCCTCTGCCTCGCCGCCGATGTCGTCTCGCGGTCGCTCCCTCCGCACCGTCGATGTCGTCCTCGCTGGCCGCTCCGTAGACCTCCCCCTGCCGGCACCCGAGGCGGGCGCGGGTGTCTGGCACTGAGGGGAGCACCCCATCCACACGGCTCACCCCAACCTCCTTGGCGGCAACCCCCACGGCGTGGCCGTCACGGCCGCTCCAGCCGAGTTCGGCCGCGTTCGGCCAAGGTCGGGCACTAAACATGCGCGCGGCGATGGCGGGCGCGTGGCAGAGACCGGTGCCGCGGCGCTGGACGGTGGACCGTCGGCGACGGCGTGTGGGGCTTCGCGGTGGCGCGTGCGGCCACGCTCTCTCTCTCTCTATCTATCTATCTATCCATCTATCTATCTATCTATCTATCTATCTATATCTATCTGCTACTGCCGAGCGCGCACGTGCCGCGCAATGACAAAGAAGAAGAAGAAAAAAAAAGAAGAAGAAGAAGAAGAAGAAGAAGAAGAAGAAGAAGAAGAAGAT